CCTCCTCCTCCATCTCCTCCTCCTCCTCCTCCTCCTCCTCCTCCTCCTCCTCCTCCTCCTCCTCCTCTATCCCCCTCCTCTATCCCCCTCCTCAGGGCCCTCTTGGGGCCCTCCTCTTCCCCACCGCTTTTACACCGCCCGCCCGCGCGGAGTCTCCAGGCCGGTTGGCGCCGCAGGGTGCCGTGCCGTGCGGCGCGCGCGCGCGCGCCCGTTCTTCGGGTGGTCGCAGCAGGAGGAGGAGGAGGAGGAGGAGGAGGAGGAGGAGGAGGAGGAGGAGGAGGAGGAGGAGGCATCGCGGCGTTCCAAGACCTCACGACGGGGAGTCCTGCCGCGACGCTCCCGAGCCCGCCCTCGCCGTGGCCCTGGCCGTTTTTTCTTCGGCATCGCCCCAACATTTTTGGTCTACGGGGTGAGAGCGAGCCTCTTCCGGTTAAAAGCTAGGCGGGCTACGCACAGCTCTAATTGGGGAGACAGAGCACAGGCGGGCGTCCCCTCAGGCGGCCGGAGGGCGGGCTGGGGTGCAGGCGGTGCCGAGGAGCTTGCACAGGAATAGGAACGCCTTGGACAGGAGCCGGAGGCATCGCCCCAACACGCTAAGAGTAAATCGGGCCTGTCCCTCTTCAGGAGGGATGTCCAAAAAAGTAGTAAGCAGGTAGTCTGGGGGCGATGTTTGACTAGTTTTGGACTGTTTTTGAGCACTTGTGGACGGCCATTTTTCCAACTTGTCGCTCAAAATCTGCTTGTAGGCCCGACCCAATACTAATGCTATGCGTGCCTCGCCCCCCCCCCCCAGGGGCGACGCGCGCACCGAGAAATCTCATGGTGCATGCGTCGTGGCGGGCGCTTTCTGGCCACACCGCTCGGGAAACTGCACACCACAAGATGGGTACACTAGATGTTCGTGTGGGACGTGCGCCTCCAAGGAGGTCGTACAGTACTACTATGTTTCCGTGGGTCCCGCTTCCTGCTGGGCACACGGCGACGCGCATGGCGCATGCCTGCGCGGGCCTTGCTCGCGCGCGGGCGCTGCCCGGGTGGCCGAGCGCTGTCGTGTGACTCGGGCATCTCCCTTCGGCGGCGCGCCCGCGAGGGAGGCGAGGAGAAGACGGCCTCCTCGAAAGGGGCCGAGGGACACCCAAATAGACCGTCACGAAATCCCGCGATCTCCCTATATTCGCAGATTTTCTGGTTGTTTGTCTTGCCCCCCCCCCCCGCTTCCCATTGTTCATGGCCCTTCACTTTTCCCGGGAGTCGCCGGACCACTGTGTCTGTGTGCGTTCTCCCCATCCGAGATCCAGAGTTCTCCGGCCCTCGGAGCAGTGTTCGTCCGAGCCCCCCCGAAGACACAGAGAGCCTCTCGGAAGGCGCGAGGGCTGCTGAGAAGCTTCGGCGCCTCCAGAGAAGGCCTTCTCCTTCTCGCTTCCCCCCCTCTCTAGCCGCCGAGTCAAGGGAAGGGTCCGAGGGCTCGGGGAGTTCGGCGGTGAGTGGTGGGTGTGATGTGGGGTGCGGGAGGTCTTCGGCGACCAGAGGCAGTTGGAGGAGTTGTGGGCAGGCCCCAAGAAGGCCATGGGCCACGTAGCGGTCTTTGGAAGAGGAGGGGCTGAGGAGGTACCCCGTTTTGCGCGGGGAAAGATGGCCAGGTCCGTGGATCCATCCATCCAGCGCCCCCTGAGACCTGAGGTTGCGAGAAAAGTGCAACATCGCGAAAAATCACGCCAGGAGCCCCGGACCCATTTTCTCGAGCCGGATCGACCTCAGAGGGTCCAGGGGCCCGCAATTGGGCGACAACACTTGGTGTGAAAGAAATGCAGCGTCAGGATCGCAGGGCAGTGGGGGCGACCCGAGGAAGCGAGGGGAGGCGGAGGAGGGGGAGGAGGAGGAGGAGCAGGAGGAGGAGGAGGTAGAGGAGGAGGAGGAGGAGGAGGAGGAGGAGGAGGAGGAGGAGGTGGAGTAGGAGGACGACGACTAGGAAGAGGAGGCGGAGGAGGAGGAGGAGGAGGATAAGGAGGAGGAGGAGGAGGAGGGGGAGGAGGAGGGGGAGGAGGAGGAGAAGGCGGAGGAGGAGGAGGCGGAGGAGGATGAGGAGAGTCTTCCCCCGGAGACACAGAAAGCCTCTCTAGAAGGCTGGAGCGCTTCTGAGAAGCCCCGCCGCCTTCTGAGAAGGCTTTCTCCTTCTCACGTCCCCCTCTCGCTCGTCGCCGAATCTTCTCCCTCGCCTCTCGCCCCTGCGCAGGGGCCGCCGTCGCTGTACCCGGGCGCGGGCATCAACCCCGACCTGAACCAGCAGGATGGGTGCTGGCGGCGGTAAGCCTGCCGCCGCTGGGTCGCGCCGCTGCGGGCGCGGCTTCCCCTCGGAAGTGACGAGAGGGGCGCATCAATTCTCTTGCACAGCTGTGCTCTAGAGCTCGGACACCTTTATTTTCGTCGTGGCTCGTGGTGGTTCGTCCCCTTCGGCCCCTCCCCTGAGCCTGAGCCCCAGCTCCCCTGGACCACCCCCCCTTGGGACCCCCCCTCCGTCCAGGCTTCCCAGGGCAGCCCCCCTGGGCCGCGGAATCCTTTATTTTGGTAGAGGTTTGTGGTGGTTCGTCCCTCCTTTGCGCAAGTGCCAGGGCACGCGTGCCACGTGCTACCGTCAACCCGCACAGTAAGGATGAGCGACTTCCCGAGGGTACCCTTGCATCCCTGCCTCTTCGGTCATCTTCGGCCCACCCTCAACCACTTTCGAAGGCCAGCCCCGCTCGAAGAGTCTCGGCATGGGCGTCCGAGGCCCTTGCGTCATTCTCGCGCATCCTTTCTGTACGGGTTGACTGTCCATGGCTTCGCCCGGGAGCCTCGCCGACGGCACGGACCACCGGCGGCTCTGCTGTCTCCCCTGGGCTGCTCGCCCCCATCGTCGCCGCCGATCCCCATCAATCAGGAGGGAAAGAAACACACAGACACAATTAATCGTCGACTCCCAGGAAAATATGCAAAAATATGGGAAGTGGTGGGGAAGACAAAAACCCAGAAAATATGGGAAAATATGGGGGATATTTTTATTTGTGTGTATTTATTTGTGTCTTCCAGTTCCCCTTCAATCAAGCCCCTCCTGCCCTTCCCCTTCTCGCCCAGGGGGCGAAGGTGCGGCAGGCTCGTGCGGCGTCGGGGCGCCGACGCCGGCGAAGGCGCCCGAGGCTGACTTCTCTGCGACGCGGAAGCACGGGTGGACATGGTGACGCCACTGGACCCGATTGACTTCGAAGCAGAAGACATGGCACAAACATAAATCGTTGGCGCTCCGCGCGGATTTCTTGGATCCGCGCTGGGCCCCCCGGCGGCGCCTCCAGCGCCCCCACTGGCGCGCTCCGCTCGCCAGGGAGGGGGGTCAGCGCAGATCCAAGAGACCCGCGCAGAGCGCCAAAAGTTTATGTGTATGCTGTGTTTTCTTATCCTTCTTCTTCTCCTCCTTCTCCTTGAACCATCGGGGCCGCGATCGATTCAAGGTTGAGCGGTCGACGCAGTGTAAAAACCTCTGCGCGCGCCGACGCCGCACGGGCCGACCGTGCCGATGCCGCTGCTTCCCCCGCCGTCGCCGCGGCGCGGCGGGGTATTCGCGGCGGGGTCCTGGGCAGGAGTCGGAGCACAGCAGGGCTGGACCTCAACGCTGCGTTGGTGGACTACGGCTGTGTTTTGTTTCGTGTCTGGATGGAGGTTAAGGGCAACAGGTAGAGCAAAACGAAAAACAAAACGAACACAACACGAAAAACAACACTTAGGTCCAGCCCTGGAGCACAGCATGCCCCCCCCCGGTTGTCGCCCTCCTCGGGCTTTCCTGCCAGCTGGGCGGGGCCAGGCGACACAGCAGAAGCGAACAGGCGGCGCTGGGGCTGTCATCATCTCAGTCGATGGCCGGATTTTGCGTCCCTGGATTATGCATCTCAATTTTCTCTTGCGTGCCAATCTCTCCCGAAGCTTGTCATTGCAGCGGCCAGCAGCAATCCTGCTGCGCCCCCCCCCTCCACCCCTTCCTCTCCCTCATCCTCCGCCGCCACCCGGTTCCCCTCCCCTCGCGCTTCTGCTCCGTCTGCCCCCCCCCTCTCACCCCCTCCGATTCTTCCTCCCTCTCAAACCCGACCTTGTCCACATCCCTCTTCTCATCACCCCTTCCTCCTGCTCCTCCCTCCTCCCCCCTCCGCCTCCCTCCTCGCCCTCGCAGTCCTCATCGTCATCTTTCTCATCCTCCTGCTCCGTCCCTTCTCTCACGGTTGTCGACTGTTTTCGGAGGTTTTTGATTTTCTTCGGTTGCCGTCGGCAGTCTTCGGAGGTCCTCGGTGGTCGTCGCAAGCTTTCGGAGGTGAGCAGGGGGGTGGGACGGAGAGAGGGAGGACGACGACGAGGGGCAGAATGGAGGGGAGGGGATGAGATGAGGAGGAGGGGGGACCAGACATCCGACGTCGTGATTTTGTCACAAGTTCGCTCCCAGAGGTCCGGACCCCTTCCCCCGGGAGTGGCTCCTCATCCCGCGTCGTCTTCTGACGGCCCCGAGGCCCGGCGAGGGCCCCGGGAGGCCGGAAGCGAGCCCCAAACCTCTCGTCGTGATACCTTCGCAGCGAGGGCAGGGCAGGCTGCGCGCGCGCGCGCCGCTCCGCCCCGGCGCCCCCTCCGCGCGGCCGCTGCCGGCTCGCTTCGGGTCCACGCCCTTCGGCGCCGCGCCCCACGGGAGTCCTCGCCGCCCCGTCAGGGCCTCGCGGGAAGAGTGCATCGGGATGTCCGCCACCGGAGCCGACCACACGGTGCTGCTCAGAGGCGATGGCACGGCCGTGGCCTGCGGCTTGAACAGCTATGGCCAGTGCGACCTTCCCGCGCTGGTCGGGGATGTGACCTACGCGCAGGTTGCCGCTGGAGGCGACCACACAGTGCTTCTCAGGAGCGATGGCACTGCCGTGGCCTGCGGCTGGAATTACCATGGTGAGTGCGAGCTCCCTGCGCTGGTCGGGGGCGTGACCTACACGCAGGTCGCCGCTGGAGGCGACCACACAGTGCTGTTCAGGAGCGATGGCACGGCCGTGGCCTGCGGCTGGAACGACCATGGCCAGTGCGACATCCCCGCGCTGGTCGGCGATGTGACCTACACGCAGGTCGCCGCTGGGGGCCGCCACACAGTGCTGCTCAGGAGCGATGGCACGGCCGTGGCCTGCGGCTATAATGACGAGGGCCAGTGCGACATCCCCGCGCTGGTCGGCGATGTGACCTACACGCAGGTCGCCGCTGGAGGCCGCCACACAGTGCTGCTCAGGAGCGATGGCACGGCCATGGCCTGCGGCTATAATGACGAGGGCCAGTGCGACATCCCCGCGCTGGTCAGGGACGTGACCTACTCGCAGGTCGCCGCTGGAGCCGGCCACACAGTGCTGCTCCGGAGCGATGGCACGGCCGTGGCCTGCCGCCATTTTGACGAAGGCCAGCACGACCTCCCCGCGATGGTCGGGGGCGTGACCTACTCGCAGGTCGCCGCTGGAGGCGACCACACAGTGCTGCTCCGGAGCGATGGCACGGCCGTGGCCTGCGGCTGGAACGACCATGGCCAGTGCGACATCCCTGCGCTGGTCGGGGACGTGGTCTACGTCGCCCACCTGCTGCCGACGTTGCTCTTGCAGGCGCGGCTCGAGGGCGGCTCGGTGTGCTTCGTGACCCTCGGCGGCGCGGAGCGCTGCAGAGTGCCTTGGGCGGGGCCCGCCGCTCGCCTCGAGGACGTGTACGGCCAGCTGACGGAGGCCCGTCGTGCGGGCAGGATGGGCACGGGAGCCTGGGGGGTCGACGCGGTCCTGCCAGGCTCGACTGCACGCGAGAGTGAACTTTCGCCGGAGTGGCCTTTGGTGCGGGCCCAGTGGTCGGGGGAGGAAGAGGTGCCCAGAGCGCGACACTTCCCGCGTTTGCCCCATCCTTCGGCCTCCTGGGAGGCCCGCATCGGCACCGCTGGATTCGCCTCGAAGTCCTGGTCAGGACGCACCCCGGGAGAGGTCCGGGGAGCAGCGGTGCCGGTACCTTCTTTGGTTTCCCCAGATGGGTCCCCCGCTCGCCGAACGCAGCGTCGTGCGCTTGTCTGTTGGGTTCCCCCGCGGCCACCCCAGAAGCAGCGCACCAAGGGTCACTCTTACCCATGGTCACTCCTACGTGTGGTCGACAGACGGCCGGCTGATCAGCAGGGCCTCGGCGGAGGAGACGGTCGCCAGCGCCTTCGGGGCAGGCTGAGCCGCCGCTCCGCGCGCGCCGTGCTCCCCCTTCCTCCCTCCACCCTCCACCACACCCTGCTTCTTCCTCTCTCCTTCGTCCTTCCCCCCTTCCCCTCCTTCCTTTCCTCCCCCCTCCGCACTATCCCTTGACTCCCTGCGATCTCCCCTGTGTTCCCTTACTCCCTCCTCCTATCTCTCCTCCCCCCTTTCCTCCTATCACTCCTCCTTCTCCTCCTCCTCCTCGTCCTCCTAACAAGGGGCACGCGTGCCAAGGATCATACAATGGCGATGTGGGTCCATGGGAGAGGGGGGCGCAGGGGAGGAGCGGGGGGGGGGTGGCCCACGGTCGGTCGGAATAAGGGGACGGGGGCGCAGGGGGGGAGCGGTCGGGGGGGGCCACGGTGGTCAGAATGGGGAGGGGGCGCAGGGGGGGGCGGGGGGGGGGTGCCCACGGTCGGAATAAGGGGACGGGGGCGCAGGGGGGGAGCGGTGGGGGGGCCACGGTCGGTCAGAATAAGGGGAGGGGGGCGCGGGGAGGAGCGGGGGGGGGGTGGCCACGGTCGGTCGGGAATAAGGGGGCGGGGGCGAGGGGGGGAGCGGTGGGGGGGCCACGGGGTCGGTCAGAATAAGGGAGGGGGGCGCAGGGGAGGAGCGGGGGGGGTGGCCCACGGTCGGTCGGAATAAGGGGACGGGGGCGCAGGGGGGGAGCGGTGGGGGGGCCACGGTCGGTCAGAATAAGGGGAGAGGGGCGCAGAAGAGGAGCGGGGGGAGTGGCCCACGGTCGGGCGGAAGAAGGGGACGGGGGCGCAAAGGGGGAGCGGGGGGGGGCCCACGGTCGGTCGGAATAAGCGGAGGGGGGCGCGCAGGGGAGGAGCGGTGGGGGGCCCACGGTGGGTCGGAATAAGGGAGGGGGGCGCAAGGGAGGAGCGGGGGGGGTGGCCCACGGTCGGTCGGAATAAGGGGACGGGGGCGCAGGGGGGGAGCGGTGGGGGGGCACGGTCGGTCAGAATAATGGGGAGAGGGGCGCAGAAAAGGGAGCGGGGCGAGTGGCCCACGGTCGGGCGGAAGAAGGGGACGGGGGCGCAAGGGGGGAGCGGGGGGGGGCCCACGGTCGGTCGGAATAAGCGGAGGGGGGCGCAAGGGGGGAGCGGAGGGGGTGGCCCACGGTCGGTCGGAATAAGGGGAGGGGGGCGCAGGGAGGGAGCGGGGGGGGTGGCCCACGGTCGGTCGGAATAATGGGAAGGGGGCGCAGGGGAGAAGCGGGGGGGGTGGCCCACGGTCGGTCGGAATAAGGGGAGGGGGGCGCAGGGGGGGAGGGGGAGGGGCCAGCACGACCACCAGCACCTCCACCAGAACGGCCAGCAACACGACCGCGAGCACGACCACCAGCACGACCACCAACACGACCACCAGCACCTCCAGCACGGCCAGCCACCAGCACGACCACCAGCAGAACCACCAGCACGACCACCAGCACGACCACCAGCACCTCCACCAGAACGGCCACCAACACGACCGCCAGCACGACCACCAGCACAAGCACCGGCACGCCCAGCCACCAGCACGACCACCAGCACAACCACCAGCACGACCACCAGCACGACCACCAGCACGACCACCAGCACCTCCACCAGAACGGCCACCAACACGACCGCCAGCACGACCACCAGCACAAGCACCAGCACGACCACCAGCACGACCACCAGCACGACCACCAGCACGACCAGCCACCAGCACCTCCAGCACGGCCAGCCACCAGCACGACCAAGCACGACCACCAACACGACCACCAGCACCTCCAGCACGGCCAGCCACCAGCACGACCACCAGCACAACCACCAGCACGACCACCAGCACGACCACCAGCACGATCACCAGCACCTCCACCAGAACGGCCACCAACACGACCGCCAGCACGATCACCAGCACAACCACCAACGCGACCAGCCACCAGCACGACCACCAGCACAACCGACAGCATGACCACCAGCACGACCACCAGCCCAGCACGACCACCAGCACGACCACCAGCACGACCACCAGCACGACCAGCCAGCAGCACGACCACCAGCTCGACCACCAGCACCTCCCAGCACGACCACCAGCACAAGTACCAGCACGACCACCAGCACGACTGCCAGCACCTCCACCAGAACGGCCAGCAGCACGACCACCAGCACGACCACCAGCACGTCCACCAACCACGACCACCAGCACGGCCGCCAGCACAACCACCAGCACGACCGCATTATGGGCACACGGTCGGTCGAAATAAAGCAGTGCGAGATCACACCGGTAGGTCTGATGATTATCCCTCCTCCCTCCTTTCTTCCACCCTCCACCACCCCAGAAGCGGTCCGTGAAGCAGCAGTGTGGGCATCCCTTCGCTGCCCTGCGTGATCTCGGCGGACGGAAACGATGGGCACCATGGGCGTGCGGGCCCAACGCGGGATCTCTCTCGTCAGTCTCTCCAGGAGGGCACCGCGTTGGACCAGGGGCCCAAGGGGGGGGCGGAGGGAAGTGGCGACGGCAGTGCGGCCCTGGGTGCGAGGTCTCATTCGAATCCTTCTGGGGAGGCGCTCGGTTGGACACCCTGGGGTCGCAAGAACATGGGAAAACTCGGGTGCGCGCGTCCGTTTTCAGAGGTGCGAAACCTCACGGGGATCGGCGTGAGGGGGCGTTCTGCTGGAGCGCAGTGGCGGCGCCTGCGCGCCTGGCAGCACTCAGTGGGCGAAGTCCGATTTGGATGTGCACAATGCTTGGCATCGCTCGGACGTGTGCATTTTTCTTTCGGCGAGGATCTTCGAGGAGCATCCTTGATCATTTGGAGAAAAAAACACGCACGAAACCGAAACAAAAACAGAGATTGGACGTCCGAGCGATGGCCAGAATGGGGCTCTCCCCTGGGCACGTGCGAGGCATGAGTATCGAAGACGCCCACAGCGAGTCACCGCCGCCCCCTGCCTTTTTGGAAGCTCCCATGTGGCCGAGCGTTGAGGCCAGACCTCAACGCTCAGAACTCAACGATCGGACCATGTGTTCCCCGAATCGGTCTGGAAAGCCTTCGGGGATCACGTGGGCATCTCGAAGGTCATCTTGGCCGTCGGGCGGCCATGTTGACCCTTTCGGGCCTTCGAAACCATCTGGTTTACTTCTCCTCCTCCTCCTCCTCCTCCTTCTCCTTCTCCTTCTCCTTCTCCTTCTTCTCCTCTTCCTCCTCCTGTTCTTCCTCTTTCTCGTCCTCTTCTTCCTCTTCCGCCTCCCCTTCTTCCTCCTTCTTCTTCTTCCTCCTCCTCCTCCTCCTCCCCCTCCTCCCCCTCCTCCCCCTCCTCCCCCTCCTCATCGCCCTTCTCCTCATCTCTTTATCCGCTCCTCCTCCTCCTCCTCCTCCTCCTCCTCATCCCCCCCTCCTCCTCCTCCTCCTCCTCCTCCTCCTCCTCCTCCTCCTCCTCCTCCTCCTCCTCCTCCTCTTCCCCCTCCTCGTCGTCCTCCTTTTCCCCCTCTTCCTGCTCCTGTTCTCCCTCTTCCTCGTCCTCCCCCCCTCCCATCCTAGCCCTCTTCTCCTGCTGCTGCTGCTTCTGCTCCTCCTCCCCCTCCTCCCCCGGTCGTTGTCTTCGCCGTCGCCCTCTAGGAGTATGATTATTAGCTTTCGGGGGGTGCGCGTCCATACGTACCGGTTGTGTGCGTTCGGCGAGCTTGCCTATATTACATTTGATCGTGACGATGGTGCAAGTTCTTGCGCAACTCTTCCCTCCACGCGCTTCCCGTTCATGTCAGGAAAGGTCCCCGAACATGGGCGTTTCGCCTGAGACAGCCTCGCCACATCACGATGTGTTGGGGTCGTATCTCAAGACGTCGTATGCTAACAATGAGCGTTTCGCCCGAGACATCCTCGGACAATGGGGATGTCGAAATCGCTGCAATCTTCGGTCCTTCGGATATGGCCGTTTCGCCTGAGACATCTTCTGTTCCACGAGCTCTTATCAGGCATCAATTTGGAGCGCTCTCGGATGACCTCCAAGATGGCCCACGAAGCGAAATCATTGAAAAACCCATGGGGTTTCAACACGTTCGTTCAAGTATCCGCATTTCGCGTGAGACTTCCTCCTGAATTGCCTTCGAACGGGTCCTCGAAACAACATAAATGACATGCCGATGCAAGTTCGGGTACGTAGGGTTAGGGTCTGTAGGGTTAGGCTTCGAAAACATGGAAGTAACTATTGTGTGTGTTTCAACATTTTTGGGCTTCGCCTGAAATCGCTCGGGTAGTGAACTCCATATTGTACTTTTTGTGGACGTTCGGGGTGAGCGCCACGTCTGAACTTGCGCGGGTAGTGAACTCCACCTGGTACCCCCTGTGGGTGTTCGGGAAGAGCGCCTACGCGACATGTGACCTTAATGTTGTGCACGTTCTTACCAAGCTCTTCGATGACACGCGCTTCTCGTTCATGTCAAGACAGGCTTCTGAAAAAAGGCCGTTTCGCTTGAGACATCCTCAACAAATTGGCCACGGAGGGGACTCCGAATCGACATCGTCTTAGAATCGCTCCCGGAGGGCTTTCGAACGCCCCAAATGAAGCTCAAAAGATGCCCTGGGCCCCAATAGTGCCCAAGAGGACCCCAAGAGACCCCCAAGAGCGCTCCAGGAGGCACCCAGACAGCACAAGAACCCCAAGAAGGCCCAAAGCGGGCCAAGAGGGCCCCGAGAGACTCCAAGGAGCGCGCCTAAGAAAGCCCCAAGACGGCCCAAGATGGCGCCGAGACGGCCCAAGGGAACTCCCAAAGAACCCCACGACGCGCCCAGACAGCCCAAGAAGACCCCAGATGTCCACAAGAGTACCCAAGAGGCCCCCAAGAGGCCCCCAGCAGGCCCCAAGACAACCCCGCGCGGCGCCGGGAGCCCCCCAGGGTAGCCCGACTCAGCCTCCCCTCGGGCGACGCGACTATCCAGCCTTCTCTTCTTCTTGCGCAGGCCTCGGGACCCACGGGCGGAGGTGTCAGACTCTTTTCCTCACTCTTCCTCCTCCTCCTCCTCCTCAGCCACCACCTCCTCCTCCTCCTCCTCCTCAGCCTCCTGCTCTTCCTCCTGCTCCCTGGCAGGCCGTCGTGTTTTCAACGGCATTCGGCTATCAAGTGCGATGTCGGAGTCCCTCCACTTTTTTTTTCAAGTCCCGCGGGGCCTCGGTAGGCTAAAGGGTTCTCCTGGCAAAGGCTCGGCCGATGATTGCAAGGGGTCGATGCGTGCGGGGTTAAAGACCCAGCGCTCCCGCCTTCGGCGCCGCCTGCGCCCGTCAGCGCCATCGCCCAGGGAGCTCTCGGGTTTCCGAGACTTAGTTGGCAGCGACGTCGAGTGGCTCCAATTCTGAGGGCCCCGTAGCGGGTTGGAGGTCCCGATTCTAGATCTCTGGAGGGTTGCTCGTCTGCACAGTTTTGAAACGCCCCATTCGGCGGTTGAATGGGCGAAGCAGTTGCGGCGAGCTCGTAAGGAAGCCAAGTGGCCCATTCCTGGAGAGGAGGGGGCATGGTGTGTCCCGGCCGCGCAGCGGCGAGTTGGACCATCCGTCTACGCACCATTACCATTACCATTACCATTACCATTACCATTACCATTACCATTACCATTACCATTACCATTACCATTACCATTACCATTACCATTACCATTACCATTACCATTACCATTACCATTACCATTACCATTACCATTACCATTACCATTACCATTACCATTACCATTACCATTATTACCATTACCATTACCATTACCCTTACCCTTACCCTTATTACCTTACCCTTACCATTACCATGACCATGACCATGACCATGACCATGACCATGACCATGACCATGACCATGACCATGACCATGACCATGACCATGACCATGACCATGACCATGACCATTACCATTACCATTACCATTACCATTACCATTACCATTACCATTACCTCCTCATCCTCCCTTTCGTCATCCTCCCTGCTCCTCCCTGCTCCTCGCGGCTCCCGATTGCACCGCCCTGCTGATTGACAGTAGCGGTGCGGTGCAGAGGGGTACCTTCGCGTTCTCCACGTCGTCCCCGTCATCGCCTCCTCGTCGCACTCGCCTTCATTTTCTTGTTCTCCTTCGCCTAGTATCGCTGCGTGGGCCAACGCCATGGCCACCTCCGCTGCGCGGCCCGCTGGCCTGCCGCCATCTAGTGCCAGGGTAGGGCGAAGATCGAGGCTCGAGGTTCGAACAGAGGAGGTAGTCAAGGTGATCAAGAGGAGAAGGCGGCTGGATTTTTTTCAGCATCGTCGTCGTGGCGCATGCGATGTGCTGCGAACCGCAGTCTGCACCGCGTAGGAGACGCATGGCAGGGCCCTGTTATAACGTGGCTTGCGCAACACGACTTGTGCACAGCCAGGGCCGTGCCTCCTCCCCGTTGTGCAGTGGAATGTTGCATTCAACATATGCCTTCTTTTGTCACTGTTTTGCCTTGTGCCTCTCACTGCGGAAAATGCTGGAGGGAGCCACAACAGAACCTTCAGACGATCCCAGTAGCCCCCACAAGGACCTCGAAAGGTCCCCAAGAGGCCCTCAAGATGGCCCAAGATAGCCCCAGACGGCCCCATCAGCCCCCAGGGTAACCTCAAAAGATCACGTGCCCCTTTCTTCGATGCCCTTTCCCTCGTGCTCCTTAACGTCCTTCGTCGTCGTCGTCGTCCTCCTCATCTTCTTCATTTCTGCATCTCTTCCTCCTCATTCTTGTGCTTGTCGTCTTACTCGTTGTCCTCCTGCTCCCCTCGCTGGCCTCCCCGTCCTCCACGCTGTCGTCCTCGTCATCCACCGCATTGTGTCGGCATCATCCTTATTTTCATTTCTCCCCCACGAGCCACATGGGTAAAACCAGCGCTTCCCGTACTTGTCCGATCAGGTTTCTGAAAAAATATTAGTTTAGCTCGAGGCATCCTCAACAAAATCGGCCCCGGAGTGGCCTCCGAATCGACATCGTCTTAGAATCGCTCCCGGAGGGCTTTCGAATGGTCCAAAGGAGGCCCAAAAGACGCCCCGGAGGGCCCCAATAGTGCCCAAGAGCGCCCCAAGAGGACCCCAAGAGACCCCCAAGAGCGCTCCAGGAGGCACCCAGACAGCTCACAAGAACCCCAAGATGGCTCAAGACGGGCCAAGAGGGCTCCATGAGACTCCCGGGAGCACTCCTGAGGCCCCCAAACGGCCGAAGAAAGCCCCAAGATGGCGCCGAGACGGCCCAAGGAAACTCCCAAAGAACCCCACGACGCGCCCAGTCAGCCCAAGAAGACCCCAGATGTCCACAAGAGTACCCAAGAGGCCTCCAAGAAGCCCCCAACAGGCCCCAAGACAACCCCACGCAGCGCCAGAACCTAGCCCGATAGGGTCACCAGGACCCTCTCCTGATCCAACATCCTTCTACAATTGCCTCTTGCTGTCCTCCGTCGTCGTCGTCGTCATCGTCCTCCGCATTCCTCGTGCTCGCCCTCGTTCTCTCCGTCCTCGTCCTTGTGCTTCTCTTGCTCCTCGTTTTCCTCATGCTCCTCCTCGCTATCCTCACGTTCTCCACGTCGTCGTCGTCGTCGTCGTCATCGCCTCCTCGTCGACTAAAGCGGCGCTTCCCGTTCTTGTCTGATCAGGTTTCGACAACTCTGCGGATGGCAGCGCCTGGGGGGCGAGGTCTCATCCAGATCTGCGCGACCAGGTCTCTCCGCCGGACCCCCAATCGCGCAGGAGCGTGGCGACAGCTGCGCGGCACAGCAGCACGCTATCGCGCATTGTGTGTTGGCTTCGGCTTGTTGGCCAGATGCGGCCAAACGGGCGAGCATACGGAGGACACGCGACAGAGAAGAGTGAGACGGGATACACAGGATCCAGAGGTACAGAGGAGAAGGACCATGCTCTGATTTCTCGAAGTGTGGACGAGGATGGCGGCCATGATAATGCTGATTATGATGTTGACGAGGAAGGAGGCAGGTGGGGACGATTGCGGGGACGACGACGATTTTGGTGTAGATGGTGGTGACGTTGGTGATGATGACATCATGGTAATGATGTTTATGATTTTGCTGATAATGGAGCTGCTGATGATGATGCTGATGAGTATGATGTCAAAAACGAGGAACGCTGCGACGGCACGTAAAAGTGATATGGTGAAGAAGTATTGCGAGGGGCCATAGGATCTCGAGATGTACTTGGGAAAGGTCTCGCTGATGAAGTGGCTGGTGACAGCTGCGGTCGGCGTCATAATCGCCGCCGAGGCTGCAGCGATCATTCTGTCAAGCCACGCCGTCTCCGCATGGAAGGTGGCCGGCTACCAGGGAGCGGTAACTGGGGACTCGTCGTTTTGATTTGTGTTATATCGTGATCATCTAAACTTTCCGGCGGGGGGGAGGGGCTCACCTATCTGATTTGCGGAGGGCGCCGGTCGCAGATGCTCCGCGTGTGCAAATTGTTTGGCCGTTGGAGGAAGAGGAGAAGGATGAGTAGGAGGAGAGGAGGCGGAGGCGGTGGGTCGGGAGGAGTAGTAGAAGGGAACTAAACAAGGAGGCAGAGATGCGGAGAAGGAGGGGGAACTGGGGTGATGGGAGGAGAGTGAATGATAGGAAGGAGTAGTAAGGAGGAGGAGGAGAAGGACGCATAAGAATGAGGCGTATGCATGAGGTGTAGTCGAGATGATGCTGGAAGCGGAGAGGAGGAGGAGGAGGAGGAGGAGGAAGAGGCGGAGGAGGAGGACGTTGATGATCCAAGAGGAGGGAGATGATCAGGGCAGCGGCGGATGATGTTGTTGTTTCTGGTATTGTTCATGCTGATGATGCTGATGATTATGCTGTTCGTGCTGTTGATGGTGATGACGATGTTGTTGATGATGATGGTGGTGGTAGTGATGATGATACTGATGATGCTGATGCTGCTCATGATAGTTATGACTATGACGATGACGATGACGACGATGCTGATGCTGACAATTGTGGCGGTGACTATGCTGCCGAGGATGCTGACGATGATGATGAGGATGCTGAAGATGATGATGATGCTGCTGATGACGATGCTGGAGATGATGAGTATGATGCTGATGATGGTGATGATGGTTGCGATGATGATGCCGATTATGATGATGATGATGATGATGCTGCTGCTGCTGCTGACGCTGATGCTGATGTTGCTGTTGGTGCTGATGCTGATGCTTATGCTGATGACGCTGATGCTGACGCTGCTGCTGCTGATGATGACGATGATGATGATGGTGCTGCAGATGATGATGATTCTGATGATGATGGTGATGATGCTTATGCTGATGATGATGCTGATGCGGATGATGATGCCAATGATGATGCTGATGATGATGCCGATGATGATGATGATGATGATGATGAAGCTGAGGATGATGATGAAGCTGATAATGATGATGATGATGATGACGATGATGATGATGATGATGATGATGATGATGTCGATGCTGATGCTGATGATGATGCCGATGATGATGTTTATGTCGACGGTGATGCTGCTGTGGCTGATGTTGCTGTTGCTGCTAATGAGGATGTTGATGCTGATGCTGGTGATGCTGGTACTGATGCTGATGCTGATGATGATGATGATGATGATGATGATGATGATGCTGCTGCTGTTGAGTATGATGCTGCTGATGCTGACGATGGCGTTGATGCTGTTGATGATGACGATGCTGCTGATGCTGTTGATGATGCTAACGATGATGCTGATGCTGATGCTGATGTCGATGATGGTGGTGCTGCGGCTGATGATGCTGATGATGATGTTGATGATGATGATGATGCGGATGTTGCTGATGCAGATGCTGATGCTGATGATGATGACGATTATGCTGATGCGGATGATGATGATGATGATGATGCTGATGATGATGATGATGATGATGATGATGATGATGATGATGCTGATGATGATGATGATGATGATGATGATGATGATGCTGATGATGATGATGGTGATGGTGATGGTGATGGTGATGGTGATGGTGATGGTGATGATGATGATGATGATGATGATGATGATGATGCTGGTGATGGTGATGGTGATGCTGATGGTGATGGTGATGGTGATGGTGATGGTGATGGTGATGGTGATGATGATGATGATGATGATATGATGATGATGATGATGATGATGATGATGATGATGATGATGATGATGATGATGGTGATGATGGTGATGATGATGATGATGATGATGATGATGATGATGATGATGATGATGATGATGATGATGATGGTGGTGGTGTGGTGGTGGTGGTGGTGGTGGTGTGGTGGTGGTGTGATGTGATGATGATGATGATGATGATGATGATGATGATGATGATGATGATGATGATGATGATGATGATGATGATGATGATGATGATGATGGATGATGATGATGATGGATGATGATGATGATGATGATGATGATGATGATGATGATGATGATGATGATGATGATGATGCTGATGGTTGTGGTTCTGGTGATGATGATGGTGCCGCTGCAGGAGCAGTGTGACCATGCTGCTGGAGGAGGGCAGTCGATCGGTCGGCCACGACCCTCGAGTGACTCAGTCAGCTGAGCTCTGTCAGACGGGTGAGTGGCACCCACTGCTACCCGCAAACCCAAAGCAGGATGATGGTGCAGAGAATGCGGGGGATGAAGACGCGGGGGAGGAAGTAGGCTGAGAGACAGACGAGTACGAGGGAGCAGGGGAGGAGGAGGAGGAGGAGGAGGAGGAGGAGGAGGAGGAGGAGGAGGAGGCGGAGGAGGAGGAGGCGGAGGAGGAGGAAGAGGAGCAGGCGGAGGAGGAGGAGGAGAAGGAGAACACGCCCGAACCTCTGCCTCTTGCTAGGCTACCGAGCGTCTGCCAAACTTCTATCTGGCCAGCGCGTTGTTTGGATAGGCTCGCGTTCGGCTCCTCGGATCCTGCCCCCAAGGACGGAGAACAAGGGAGCAGAGGAGAGGGAAGAGGCTGCCCTCGACTGTCGCCCAAGTTGAGTTCCCCTCCACCCCGCGTTTGTCCCACCCCTTCCCGACTGCCAGCCCCAGCCGACCCCTGGACGCCAACCTGCAGGCTTGGACTTTCTTGCGCGGCGAACCGTGGCAGGACAAGCTCTGCGCAGCTGCCCTTGGGTGCCAACCTCGGCGCGAAAGCTGTAGGGAGGAGTAGTGGGGGGGGGGGAGTGGAGGGAAAAGAAGGAGGGAGGGAGGAGGGGGGTCCCTGGCTCTAAGGGTTTGCCAACCTCTTGGCCAAAACTGCACTGTGGACTGACGCCTGGGGCAGGACTTACACAGGCTGGTGCGTGGAATGCTAGCCTTACTTTGTCCTGCCCGTGCAAGAGAGGCTGAACTTATGATTGGTTCCTCCACCCCCATCGCCTAAGATCCTCACCCCCACCCACCCAGCACACCAGATCCTCATCAATACAGCTGCGCCGACCTGGCGCCGTGCACTACCGTCAACGCGCATAGTAAGGACACACGGTTTTTTCAAGGGTACCCTTGGGTCCTTGCCTGTCTCAGCCTCTGCGGCCCGTCCCTAGCAATTCTCGCAGGCCAGAATACTTCAACTTCGGCCTCCAAGGGTCTTGCGTCCTTACCACGCGTCCTTACCATACGTTTTCACTGTAGAAGAGAGAGGGATCTTCCAGTTTCTTGCCTGACGAGGTTATGGAGCCCCCACGTGGGCGGTCTGGCCGCTCTTTGCCTCGCCTTCGCAGGGAGTGGCCGATGAATTCCTCAGCGGGTTGCTCTCAGCACCTGCCAAGATTTTGCCTGGCCTGTCCCACGTTAGCACGGCCTATTTTGAAGAACGGAGAAAACGAATCCCGAATCCCTAATTGGTTGTTCCCAGCACCTGCCAAGATTTTGCCTGGCTTGTCCCACGTTCGCACGGCCTACTGTGAAGAACGGGGAAAACGAATCCCGAATCCCTCAGGACGCCTCTAGGCCACGGCCTGCCTGGGCAATGGTAATGTCTGAGGGCTCGCTGCCCGACAGTACGAAGAAAACCAGGGAACATGTATCCCAGCGGGCGTCTCCGATGCAGTGCTTGCCTGGCCAGATTCGGTAACATGTAAAGTGACATGTATATAGCGGATCCTACCGCACGAAAAGGGTCACCGAACAAAGTGAGCGTATACATTACCATCTGCCTGAGATTCTTCCCAGGCGTTGGTACTATTGGCGAATATTGAAATACTGATGCACATCAAGTTGGGATTCTTCCAAAATTCGAAGGTATGACATGAAGGGATTCTTCCCTGGGTGTTTCCTGTATTCCAGTCCTATTGGATACCCGCACAATGCTATAGAGGGATTATTCCCTGGGTTCTTTCTGCATGTGGCGACTCAGCCCCAATGCATGTAAGTGCAAGAGCGATGCTTCGCTGAAAATCTGCTCCACCAGCTATGAAGAGGAAGCACTAGACGCAGAAGAGCTCCGCTTGCACTTCCTGCGCCTGCTGCGTTTGCTATCTGCGGCGGGGTGTTTTCCCCAGCGTCTGTGTGCTTCTTGAGTTGGTCGTTCGCTTCGTTCAGCTGCTTCTTGAGCGACTTGATGCGGTACTTCTGGAGGCCATGCTGCAGTTGGTGGAATCTCACCTTTTGACTGAGCAAGCTGCTCGGCGTGTCATCTTGGGGAAGTTTGTCCTTCGGCTTCGAAGGGTCCCGCCTCTGGAGCTGTACCTTGACCCGCTCAACTCGTGCTGGAGGCGGAGGCGGTGGTGGGAGCGATGGTGGAGCCTGATGGACCGCCTGACTGCTCCGAAACTTTTCCGATATCCCAGGAGCCTCCGCATTTGCACTGAGGATTGGACCTCAGCCGTACTGCCCAGATCCACTTAGAACATACAGTGCATACGAGATAGATATGTCGTCAGTATTGAAAGAGCGCTTTCTGGCGCCACTGGTCGGGGGGGGGAGGGGTTTCCAACCTCCCCCCCCTTCCCCCGGAAACAGGAGGGGGAGGGGTGCAACCCCCCCCCTCCCCTCCCCGAGCCCTCCCGCCCCCCCCTCCCCTCCCCGAGCCCTCCCGGGTGGTTTCACCTCCCCCCCCAACCGCCGGCAGCCGCCGCCGCCGCCAACAACGACGACGACGACGACGACGACGACGACGACGACGACGACGACGACGACACATCACATCCTTGCGCCACGGGGGGGGGTTCGAACCCCCCCCAGGCCCCCCCGGGGAGTTTCGTGCCCTCCCTCCCCCCTACCCCCCCCCAGCCGCCGGCAGCCGCCGACGACGACGACGACAACGACAACGACGACGATCATTTTAAGCCTGTTCGTTCCTATCTGCTCACAGGGCTACACAGGCCCTGGTAGACCACTCCCGAGTGCCCTTCTAGTCTTAGTCGGACGCTCTGACCTCGATGTCGAAGGCACGAGTGACATATATCCCAAACCCTCGGTACCCGCCCTCGTCGTGTTCGATCGTATTCCCTTGGGGGTATATACCTTCCTTGCCTGCCACGTGAATTTAGTGCAGTCCTTAAAACAAAGGCAGAGAGGACGTGTGGAAGGGGGAGGCAGAATAATGGAGCACGAGAGAAATTAGCAGGAGGGGGGCAAGGAGCAGAAAACAAGTGGTAGAACCAGACGGGCAGATCGGGTAGGCAGACCCATAGCGGGCAGGTCGGGAAAGCGGACCCAGGCGACGAGGTCGAGCAGGCAGGTTGCTGAAGCGTGGGTCCTGCATGAATCGCGAGGAAGTCTCGAGCGAGAGCGCCGTTCCTGAGTTCGGTGGCCTTCTTGACTAATTGAATTGCGAGGAAGTCTCGAGCGAGAGCGCCGTACCTGAGTTCGGCGGCCTCTCTGGCCAGGGTGTCTTGGGGTAAATTGTTAGGAAGTGTCGAGCAGGAACGCTGATGCTGATGCTGATGCGGATGATGAGGATGATTATTATGGACATGCTGATGATCATGTTGATGATGATGCTGATGGTGCTGCTGCTGATGATGCTGGTGCTATTGATGAGTATGATGCGGACGATGATGATGCTGATGATGATGACGAGGCGCACGAGGATGCTGAGGATTATGATCATGATGATGGTGTTGATGATGACTGTAATGATACTGACGATGACAGAAGATGACGACGACCACGACGACGACGACGACGACGACGACGACGATGATGATGATGATGATGATGATGATGATGATGATGTTGTTGGTGATGCCAATGATGATGAGGATGAGGAAGAGGGTGATGATGAAGATGATGAGGATGATGATGGTGCTGATGTTGTTGATGATGATGATGATGCTGCGGATGAAGATGATGATGGCGGTTTTGCCGCACACGACGATGCTGCTGCTGTTGATGATGATGGTGACGATGCTGCTGCTGCTGCTGATGATGGTGATACTGGTGATGATGAGGCTGATGATGATGCTGATGATGATGATGATGATGATGATGATGATGATGATGGTGATGGTGATGGTGATGGTGATGGTGATGATGGTGATGATGAGTATGATGATGACGACGCTGATGCTGACGCTGATGCGGATGCTGAAGCCGATGCTGATGCTGATGCTGATGCTGCTGCTGCTGCTGCTGCTGTGGAGGAGGAGGAGGAGGAGGAGGAGGAGGAGGAGGAGGAGGAGGAGGAGGAGGAGCAGGGTCTCCTGCAGGGGCGCGAACGACGGCTTGGCATGGAAACGGGCACGGAGCACGGAGTGGAGCGAGTGGTGCGGCACGAGCAGGGCGCGGAGGGGGAGAGAGGCAGTGGATTCGGAGGCGGCAAGAGAGCGGATTGCGCCAGCTCCTCCTCTTCCTCCTTCTTCTCCTTCTCCTCCTCGTGGTGGAGGCCACCGCTCCTCCTCCTCCTCCTCCTCCTCCTCCTCCTCCTCCTCCTCCTAAAGGAGCTCCTGGTGGGTGAGGGCCAGGGTCAGAGGGGGAGGGGGGGGGGGGGGGAGTGACACAGGACGAGCAAATGACGACTGAGGCAGAGAAGGGCGGGCAGGGCTGCGACGAGGGAGAGACACATGCAAGGGCGACGGGGGCGGAGACGGCGGGGCCTCCTCCACAGGTGGGCGTGCTGGAGGAGCTGAGCCAGTCGTCAAGTATCGGCAGCTTTCACGCCTTCCTGTTCCTGCTGTCGTACGCCTTGCCCTGTTCTCTAGGCGGCCACTGCACGGGGTGGGGTGGGGGGAGGGGACGTGCAGCAACCAGTCACGAGGGGATGAGAAACATGTGGGCAGGAAGACGGTCAGGAAGGCAGGCGAGGCAGGATGAGGAGGGAAGGGAAGTATACGCAGGTGGGGAAAAGAGCAATATGGCCGACTAAGCAGAGTTGAGCGGGATCTTTTGAGGTACCAGCCATTCTGATGAAGGGCACCAGCTCTGCGCCGCTCTGGAGTGGAAGCAAACGCACCCTGATCTCAATCCGTCCAATCCTCATCCTGATACCCTAATGCTCCTCGTCTTCAACTTACACAACCTTTGCCACCACGCATGCGGCTGTCGGATGTGGTGGCAGCACGTGGAACCATCCCACCTTGCTGAAGTGGAAGCCACTCGAGATGCCCCGGAAACTGTCGCGGCGCAAACGGCGCATTCGTGACAGAAGGCATCTGCGCCTGAACGCAGCACCCTGACGCGGGGATCGTCACGCCAGTCTTCCGCGCGAACTCGCACCTGCAGGCCCTGCGGCCGACTCCAGGGTTGCGTGGCTGGCCAGTGTCAGCACGTGCAGTTCAGCATGATGGTGTTGTTGTCTTGCGATGTGCCCTGCACGCCGCGACTGCGCGCTCCCCGTGTGCGCGGGCTGCGCTGGCCCGTGCCTGACCTCAATAGCGGCCATGCTCGGCGGACACAGCCGCCCAGGCAGGTGTGGCACGGCGCCCCGCCTTGGCCAGCGCGCGCCCGTCCACCTCCGCTTCCGTCTCCCCGTCCACCCAACCCCCCGCTCTTGCCTCGATTTCCGCTCCTGACCTCCATCTCCACCTCCACGTCCGCCTCGGGGGTCCTCGTGCACGCAGGCGCAGGTTGTGCCCGAATGGGGCTCCGCTCCACACTGGAGGCTCTTTACTGGCAGGCTCTGATTGTACAGCAGGCGTGTTTTCACTTCCAGCCCTCCGTTGGAGTTGTGCCTCCGTTCTCTCTTCGCTGCGCCGCCAGACTCCTTCCTCTTCTTCCTCCTCCTGCTCTCCTGCTGTCCGCCCTGTTCTGCCGATGCAGGTGTTGTCTGCTGCTCCTCGCCCAGCCGCTGCGGCCGGTGGCGCTGCTGCTGCTGCTGCTGCTGCTGCCGTTGCTTCGCTGCCTGCCGCTGCTGCTGGTGCTGCTGCTGCTGCTGCTGCTGCTGCTGCCCCATAGTGCCCGCGTGTTGTAGATGCCGCTCTTCGGCACGCCTTTACACGGACCGTCCCGCAGAGAGAGCCTGGGTCCCAGGCCCCAGTGGTGGCGCCCGCATGCGCTGACCCGAGCCGAAATCACCATGTTCCCCGCACAAATCCGTGCCCCATGAGGGTCCTAGCTTCGTGCTCTTGGCGGTGGCGGTGCCGCAGCTACAGCTCTAGAGGGCAGTGTTGACGGCCACCTGAGGGCCTCTTGGATGAAGTCCATGGGCCACACGGCGTGCGAGGGATGCGTGCCGAAGTGGAACTCCCTCGAGTCCTTTCGGAGGCCAGCGGAGGGCTCTGTTGGTGTCCATGGGGCACGACGTGCGTGAGAGGGTGCGCCGAAGTGCGGATCCATGCAGCCGTCCTGTGGGCCAGCGGATGGCCTCCCAGATGGGGTCCGAGTAGATGAGGTCGGAGGATCACGCCGCATCGCCGATGCATCCGCGATATCGGCGTGGAGAAAGTCGGGCTCCACATCGAGCCGCATCGCCGATGCAGCGGCGATGCGGCGCGATCCTCCGACCCCATCTACTCGGACCCCAGCTGGGAGGCTTCTGGGGCCCGAGGTGCGTGCGCCGGATCCACGGCCTTCTCACGCAGCTGGGGCTGCAGTGGAGCCCCAGCGGGCCCGGCTCGAGCCTGCGGCGCCTGCCCGGGCCTCCCTGAATCGCCCCGCACCCTCTGGGCCCCCCCGGCCCCCACCGCCCCCCCCCCCGAGGAGGGGGTGTGAAGAGTCGGGGGGAGAGAGTGCAGCCTCGAGGGGGAAACCCCAAAAATATGCAGGGGGGAAGGGTCCAGACGACTCCGATGGGGGAACACAGGAAGACTCGATGGCTCGAAAGAAGACTTTCTCTTGCCCCCCTCCCCTCTCCTCTCCCTGCCTCCTCCCTGCTTTCCTTTCCCGCTGCCCCCTTCCTTTCCGTTCTTATCCTGCTCTTCCTTCCCCCATCGCCAGGCACTCTCGCCCCCTGTTGCTCCGCATCCTCCTCATCCCCCCTTCCTGCTTCTTCCTTCCTTCCTTTCGCCCCTTCCTCTCCATGATTTGTTCCTTCTCGTCATGCCCCTCTGTTTTCCCCACAGCGGTTTTCACAGCGTGATGTGGCCATGATGGCACATCACCTGCGTTTCGAAGACGGTCAATGCACAAGAGTGTTGTGCAGCTGATACCACTGTTTTTAATTACACGGATAGCGTGTTTACATTGAAAGGGCCCATTCGCGTATGCCATCATCGCGTGCGATACAATCCATAGTGCAACGTCATATTTGGATCAATCCAATTCGGAATTCAGTACAGATGTGCAGATGATAGTGGCGTCGGTGCCATCGTTCCTTCCCAGCACACATCCAGTTTCTGGTCGAAGTACACGTACGGTACATCTTATAGTTATGGTGGTGTTGTGTGTATGTGCTTGTAAATGTGTGAATTTGCCCTTTCGTGCGTTTGTGTGTGTGTGTGCGTGTGGGGGGGGGCTTCCATTGCCATTGGCGCACCCTCTGCAATGCTTCGCCCGCCATCCACAACATCATGTTACAACGTTATGATCATGTTCCTGCTCCCACCGCCAGCGCGACCACAACACATTCATGATGTTTAGTCCATTCCGCCGACCCTTGAGAAGGTCGACAGGGCGAATGGTACCTGGGCTGCACGCGCTGCACGAGTACACGCGGTAGAGCGCAGGAGCACGCCGAAGCGCGATACGATGCTCAAAAGGGGCATATACACCAGGGTGGGGATGGGGAGGAGGTAGCCCTGAGGTAGCAGCCCAGACATGCGGCGTCCCTGGAAGTCCCGACCCTTTCCCCGGGGCCTGTATTTCGTCCAAGCCGCTTTTGACGGTCCCGGGACTCGGCGAGGGCCCCCAGAGGGCGAACACTTGCCAGAAGCCTTCCATCGTGATTTTTAGTACGGCGCGATCCTGTCTGGGAAGGAGGATGTACAAGGAGGAGGAGGAGGAGGAGGAGGAGGAGGAGGAGGAGGAGCACCCGCCTCCGCGCCTGGCTCGCCCAGGCCCGTGGAGGCACCCGTCACCGGTGCAGGGAGGGGGAGCACAGCAGAGGGGTCGGCGGTGATGCGCTCCCCCCCCCCCCGCGGAGGGAGGGCGCCGCCTGCCCCTCCCGAGGGGTTGACCCCTGAGGGTCTTTAGTTTTGCACCCCCCCGTGTTTCTCTCGGCGGGGAACAGATCTCGTCCCTCCTCTTGCTCCTGCCTCCTCCTCTTCCTCCTCTTCCTTCACCTCCTCCTCCTCTTCCTCCTGCTCCTCCTCCTCCTCTTCCTCCTCTTCCTCCTCTTCCTCCACCTCTGCCTCCTCCTCCTCCTCCTCCTCCTCCTCCTCCTCCTCCTCCTCCCTGCGGAGGGAGGGCACCGCCTACCACTCTCCCCCCCCCTCCCTGCCGTGGGGTACTTTCTTGGCATTGCTCAGACGTGTGCATTCTTTCTCGGCGAGGCCCTCGAAGAGCACCCTGGACCATCGAGTGAAAAAAACATGCACGGTACCGAAGCATGCATGTGACGTGGACGTCCGAGCGACTGCAAGTTCGTGGTGCTCCACTCCATGTTGCTCCGAGGAGGAGGGGGGGGGAGGAGGAGGAGGAGGAGGAGGAGGAGGAGGAGGAGGAGGAGGAGGAGGAGGAGGAGGAGGAGGAGGAGGAGGTGGAGGAGGCGGAGGTGGGGGAGGAGGAGGAGGAGAGCTCTTTCTGGCGCCAGGCCGTTTCGAGGGGACGGAGGCGGAGAGGGCGACGCGGCACCTCCACCCTCTCGCCGCTCTGCCAGGCGCCGCGCTGCTCGTGACCTACGTGGCGCCGCACGCCGGAGGCGGCCCCGCCGGGCTGGACCGTCGGCGGCGACGTTTTCGCTCGATCTCCTCCCTGGCGGAGAAAGGACTGAGGGTGGAGGACGTTGTTTTCAATGTCCTCGCCTGCGGAGGAGGGGCCGAGGACGGAGGACGTTTTTCGATGTCCTCGCTGGCGGAGGAGGAACTGGGGACGAAGGACGTCTTTCTCGACGTCCTCGCCTGCGGACGAGGGACTGAGGGCGGAGGACGTTTTTCTCGATGTCCTCGCCGGCGGAGGAGGGGCTTGAGGACAGCCGGGATCGGGGCTCGAGGGACGGGGGTCAAGGCAAACGGGGGTCAGCCAGAGCACTGGATCCTGCATGATCCTGCAGGGCCAGGGCTGCACTGACCCGGGCTTGGGTGCAGGATCCCGCAGGATCCAGCGTGTCCCCGATTCCGTTCGGTTCGTTTCGGTTCGGGGACTTCGCTTCGGTTCGGTTCGGTTCGGTTTCGAAACTGCTTCAGGGCGGTTCTGGTTTAGAGGGCTGTTCCCGTTCAGCCGGTTCCCGTTCGGTTCCCGGTTCTTGAGGGGGATGAGGAAGCAGAAGGGGATGAGGAAGCATAAGGGGGATGAGGAAGCAGAAGGGATGAGGAAGCAGAAGGGATGAAGGCGTTGGGGGGGGGGGGGGGGATGAGGAAGCAGAAGGGAGCGGGGGGGTGATGGGTGGGGAACCTCCCCTCGCGGCCCTGGACGCCAGCGGGCCCTTGGGGGCGCCCAAAACTATGGTGGATTTGCCCGAGATTGTGATCCCGGCTCTTCCACGGCCATTTCGGCAGTCCCCGTGCGGCCCCGGAGGCCCCTTTTTGCGCCGAGGCCCGCACCGCCCCGAGGACCCCCGCAGGCCCCATGGGGGCCCACAGGGCGCGCTTGAACTGTCCAGGAGGGCGGTTTTGGCTCCTCCTGGGGCCTTCTGGCCGTCCCGGGGTCAGCCCGGGAGGGCCCCTTCCCCCCCGAGGCCGCCTCGTCCCGAGGGCCCCTGCAGGCGCGCGGGGGGGCAGAAAACATTTTGTAAGAGGTTTGACTTGCCCAGGTGGGCGATGCAGGCGCTTCCAGGGCTCCCCGTCCGCGTCCAGGGAGGGGGAGCATGGGAGGGAGGGGCAAAGCCCCCTCCCCGAGGGGAAAGAAGGGGGTCGGAAGCAGAAGAAGCTCAGAGGAGAAAAAGGTACCCATACCTCTACCCTTCGCGGCCGTTTTCCTTTTTTTTCGGGCCTTCTCGGGGGAGATCTCAGCGCCACCGCCGGACTCGGCTCAAAATCCTGGTCAGAACGCACCCCAGGAGGGGTCCGGGGAGTAGCGGTATCGGTGCCTTTTTAGGTTTCCCCAGAAGCGCTCTAAACCACGGACGCCACACCGCCAGCGTCGCCGACGTATCTTCTCGGACCCCATCTTGGAGGCCTCTGTGGTTCCTCGCAGACTCTGAATGCTGCGCGACTCAAGGAGCTTCCCGCCTCCGGACCCCCCTGGCCCTCCCGGTGGCCGAGGGGGCGATGAGCAGGAGAAGGGGGAGGGCGGGAAGTCGGAACCAGCCGAGTCGGGGGCGTCCAAGAGATGGGGATGACGAGGCGAGGGCGGAATGGCGGGGGCCATGACATCTCCCCGAACTTCGTGGCCTCCGTTTCTCATCTCAGTACGTCCTCTGCTCCGACCGCCGTCCGCGCTCATGCCTCGGCCCATGAGTTGCGAGCCCCCCTCTTGGACGCCCCCGACCAAGGAGGGGGTCGGAGGAGGCCGAAGGGGAGGAGGAGGAGGAGGAGGAGGAGGAGGAGGAGGAGGAGGAGGAGGAGGAGGAGGAGGAGGAGGAGGAGGAGGAGGAGGAGGGAGGAGGAGGAGGAGGAAGAAGAGGTGGAGGAGGAGGAGGAGGAGAGGAGGAGGAGGAGGAGAAGGAGGAGGAGGAGGAGGAGGAGGAGGCAGCACCTGTCACAGGGAGGGGCAGGTGCGGTGGGGGAGGGCCCCCCGCTGTCGCAGTAGCTTGGCGCACCGCGTTGTCGTACCGCGGCCAGAGGCAGCGGCATCCCGGAGATCAAGGCCTACCTCAACGGCATCAACATGCCGCAGGCCTTCACCTGGAAGGCCAAGCGCTCTGCCCCCCTCCTGTAGCAAGTGGGCCGTCGCTCGGCGATTTGGTATTTCTGCATTCCCGGATCCCGATATCCCAATCTGCTTTGGGCGCCTTCCTGCTTCAATGATCGAGTGGTTTCCCCTCTTCCTCTTCAGGGAGCGGGTGGGAGCCCAATCTACTTTCACCGCGTCTTCCTGCTAATGCTTCTGCCCGCTTCTGCCCAGCGACGGGTACTTACCCTCCCCCATCCACGATTGAGGCATCTCGACGGGCGGCGGAGGTAGGCTTCGGAATGCGCCGAACACGTCGCGGAGTCCGAGCCCTGCCCGCGCCTCCCCTCGGTTCGGGAGAATCGATGGTCGGTGGGGGTAGGGTTAAGTCGGGCCTGTCCCCCTACAGGGAGATTTTCGACGAAAAATAAAAAAGACAAAATAGTACAAAAATAGTTCCAAAATTGTCTGGGGACAATTTTTTGAGTATTTTGTGACCTTTTGGGAGTGTTTTGGGGGTATTTTTTGTCGACAATCCCCCTGTTGGGGGACAGGCCCGACTTAAGGGTAGGGTTCGGATGCCGCCCTCCTCGGGCTGGGGCCGCCAGGGGCCCATGCCCCCTCTCTCAAGCGATGGCGAGAAGCGCCCTGGCCCGCCTCGGCCAGCCCATGGCGGGACTGAGGACGGGCAGCAGCGTCGTGTGATCGTTCTCTGACTCTTTGTCTTGCCGATCGGCGCGGGCCCTCGCACCCCCTCCCTCTCCCAGCGTCGTGTGATCGTTCTCTGCTTCCTTGTTTTGCCGATCGGCGCGGGCCCTCGCATCCCCCCCCCCTCTCCCCCTCTCCCGTAGAGTAGCGCTCCGCTGTCTTTGACGCCCGTTTCGAGCAGGTGGAGCCTCCCCCACAGGACGCGCTGTGGCGAGCGGTCGCGTGGAGCAGAGGTCCGGAGCCGGACCCCCGTCCCCCCCCCCGCCCCTCCGCCCTCTGTCGAGACGCCGACTGTGAAAGGGCTCACCGCGAGGGCGCCCTCGCGGGGAGCCTCCCGCCCTCCGTCCCCCGTCCCCCCCGCCCCTGCGCCCCTCCGCCCTTCCGCCCTTTGTCGAGGCGCCGAGTCTGTGCAAAGGCCCACCACGAGGGCGGCGGGCGGGGGAGCCTTCTCCGGTGCTGCCGCTCCTGCCCCGTCCGCGCGCGCCCCTGCCCCACGGCACGCCGGCCGCCGCCCCCCGGCCCGTGGGCGCTGCTCCTGCCCTCGCTCCTCCACAGGAGGAGGAGGAGGAGGAGGAGGAGGAGGAGGAGGAGGAGGAGGAGGAGGAGGAGGAGGAGGGAGGCGATGCGCTCGCCCTCGCTCCTCCACCACGCCCCTGGGTCCTGAGCGCTGGCTGCACTCCCGCTCGGAGTGGTGCCCCTCAGGACGTGTGCCGGCCCAGTCCGTGTGCGTCCCTCGGTCAGCTCTGCCGATGGCACCCAGCCTGCGTCGGCCCTCGTCTGCATCGTGCCCACCGTTCGTTGAAGGTAGTCATTTTTGGATTCCCAGATTCCAGTATGCTTTAACCGCCTTCCTACTTCAGTGACCGAATGGCTTCACCTTTTCCGTCCTCTCTAGGGGGCGGGCGCACACCCAATCTATTTTCAACGCCTTCCTACTTCATGTTTCTACCTACTTCTTCCGACCGATGGGTATTCAAGGGCTTCTTTGATCACGCACACGTTGGCGCGAACACGCGTTCTGAGGATCATCTATCGTCTCGGTGCCGCTGCACCTCCCAGCGCAGACTGGTGCTCTCGCCTCAGCGCCGCTGCAGAGGGACGGTGGCTTTCTACAAAGGCCACTGCTCGCAGGACAGCCTGTCTGCGCTGCTGGAGTTTTCGATACCACTCTGGCGTACGGCATTTCAGGTAGCCCAGCTGGCTCACGCATGTGTGTGTGTGTGTGTCGCCGAGCATGTCGTCGTACGTCGTCCGCTCCTCCTCCTCCTCCTCCTCCTCCTCCTCCTCCTCCTCCTCCTCCTCCTCCTCCTCCTCCTCCTCCTCCTCCTCCTCATCTCCCCCCCACCCACACAAAAAAGTCGGGGGCCCCCAATCGGTGTGGTGACCACCTTTGTCGTGCGGCCTTCCGCAAGGTGCCGAGGGCCCCACGAGGCTACGCCAGACCCAGACCTCGCGGGGTGACAAGAATCACCAGGGGGGGGGTTCCGCCATTCTCGGCCTGCGGGGGTTCTTGTTGGGCCTCGGGACTGCCAAAGAACGACTCGGGATGACAAACCGGACCCAGGGAAGGGGTCCAGACCTCTGGGGGTCGACGTCCTGACAAAACTCACGACGTCGGGCGTCTGGGTACCCCTCGGCTCCCTGGTGCCTTCCTGCGGTTTCCCGGCTGCCTCCCGGCCGCAGCGAGCCAGGTTGTTCAGGAGTGCGCGAGGGGTGGTGCTGATCTTCTGGTCCCGCAGCGTGTGTTGCAGCATCGGTGACCCCTCCTTCTCCTCCTCCTCCTCCTCCTCCTCCTCCTCCTCCTCCTCCTTCTCATCCCTCCTCTTCCTCCTCCTCCTCCTCCTCCTTCCCCCCTCCTCCTCATCCCTCCTCATCCCTCCTCCGCGGCTGCTCTCTGCTTTTCAACTCGCTCCGTGCGCCCCGTGCCAGGCGCGCCCCCCCGCTGGTCTCGATCCTCGCACTCGCGTTCGCTGGCGCTGCCGAGTTGAACGCAGCACCATCGGCAGACGCTGGCGTTTCCAGTCGCGTGGCTCACGGGGAGGTGTCGTGGCTTGGCGTTCGCGTCAGACGTGTGCCAGCGCATGTCATGGCAGCACGTGTGCACGCGCGGTGACTTGGCCAAAGTTCAGGCATCCCCTCCCTCGGCGCCAACCCAACAAACTAGTACCATGTGCGTCGCCCCCCCCCCCCCCCCTCCCAGCGGCGTTGCGCGCGCCGAGGAATCTGTCCATGCGTCGTGGTGGGCGCTTTCTGACCGGGCCCCTCCTCCTTCTCCTCCTCCTCCTCCTCCTCCTCCTCGTCCTCTTCCTCCTCCTCCTCCTCCTCCTCCTCCTCCTCCTCCTCCTCCTCCTCCTCCTCCTCCTCCTCTCAGGAAGCGGTAGACGAGAATACTCGTGTACTACATGTTCGGGTCGGACGCGCGCCCCCGAGGAGGACACGCCGTGCTGTGTGTCCTTGTGCGCCTCTCCCCGCGCACACGACCTGCGTCGTCGCGTCTCTCCCTCGCCCTCCCTCCCGTCCCCTCCCCTCCTCGCAGGCACGCTTAGGGGTGTGCCCCTGCCGCTCGGCTTCTCCTTCTCTGCCCAAGCACTGCGCAGTGAAAGGCCCCCCTCCTCCTCCTCCTCCTCCTCCTCCTGCTTCTCCTCCTCCTCCTACTCCACCATTTCCTCCTCCTCCTCCTCCTCCTCCTTCTTCTCCCTGCATCATCAAACGCCTGAGATTCGGTGGCAAGCTGGGGGGCGGTCAGTTATAAGGACAAGGCCTCTCCAGAAGGCGGCGGGACTTCTCAGAAACCCTCGCCCCTTCTGAACGGCTTGTTGTGCCTTCACGGAAGCCTGGAAACGTCGCGGAAGGCCAGGGGATTTCCGAACCGTCTGAGAAGGCCCGCCCCTTTTCAGTTCCCCCCCCCGCCCGCCGCCGTGAGATGAGACGAGAGACTGGGACGCTGAGATGCCTTTCGCGGGCCATCGATCAACCGCCTGGCCCACGATACCCCGAGTTTCTTCGTTGGCTGCCGCGCAGCAAAAAACCCGACCCTGGCCCAGCACGCCTCAGCGATGTTCAGAGTTTTTGTTTGTTTCCGACGGGTCTCTTGTGGGCTGATCCTGGTGGCGATGATTTTTGCGATCACGGCTTCGGGCGTCGAGCGCAGGCCCCTTGAGAAAGAAAGGAGGGGCGAGGAGAGGGCGGAGGCGGAGGACAGGGGGGCCGAGAGGAGGGCGCGCAGAGGGTGGGGGGGCGCGCAGACGGCGAGAATATGCGGCGAGAAGGGGGAGGGGGGGGAGAAGAGGGCGGAGGAGAGGGAGGGGGGCGTGAAGACGGCGAGAGGGCGGCGAGAAGGGGGAGGGGTGCGGGAGGAGGGCGGAAGGAGGGACGCCTGGGACATTCTCGTGGAGTGATGTCCGACCCCAGACCAATCCTCCTGATCGGTTTGGGAGGTCGCTGCTGCGATCGCGGCGGCCGTGAATGGGGGAAGGTTCTGTGTCGTCGTATGTACAATTATAAAAATAAACATGATCATGAAGAAGTGGCATGCCCAGTTCCACCCACTTCCCCGCTCTGCGATGTAGACGTGGCTCACACTTAACACTACAGCGAGAAAGAGAGTTGACAACTTATGTTCAATTACCACGCAAATCCAGTTCCCTTCCTCCGTTCTTCCCTCTCCAACCCTGCTTTCCCCGTTTGGGCTTCACTGGGACACCCCACCAGATGTTTGACAGCGCGGGGGGCACACAGGTCCCTTCCGCGCACGCCGATCCGTCTCCTTGCAAGTTGTAGCAGATCTGGGATCCGACGAGCGATGCAAGAACACGGGGTCGTCTGCGCCGACATTGGCGCGTGAGCTGCCCGTGTACGGTCCCGCGTGAGCGCCCTCGCCGCGTGCCGCGGCGGCGGCCCGCGTAAGCCGCCCTGTAAGGTCGCTGCGCCATCTCGCGTAAGATCCGTTTTTGAGCAACGCTCAGACGGCTATCACCGGCCTGTTGACATCTGCTCCTGCCAAAGCAACGCCCGGTTGCTTTCAGCTCAGCGCCGATCACACGGTGCGCGCGCGTGCGCGTCTGCGAGCAAGTTGCCCCCCCCAGACGTGGCTCTCGCGCTCCGTCGGGCTGTTCCTCGTCACCTCGTCGGGCCTCTTCGCCGGCACCGAGGACCTGCTACCGGGTTGGGAGCGGACGATGATGACGATGATGATGATGATGCTGATGATGATGATGATGATGATGATGATGAGGGTGATGAGGGTGATGACGATGATGATCATGATCATTGTGATACTGATGGTGGTGATGGTGATGGTGATGGCGATGATGATGATGATGATGATGATGATGATGATG